GGGGTCAGACAGCATGTGCAGTGGTCCCGCTCTCCGCATCTCATCTGCCGTGTGCCCTTTCTCCGTGCAGGAGTCACCATGAAGCTCATGGACGAGGTGGCTGGGATTGTTGCTGCACGCCACTGCAAGACCAACATAGTCACTGCCTCCGTGGACGCCATCAATTTTCACGACAAGATCCGGAAAGGTAACAGAACTCTTCTGATGAAGCTGAGGGGGGAGCAGCCCTTGGGGCTAGCTTAGTGTTTACACCTGATGTCTGTCCATGTGCCACCAGAAACAGGAGGGCCGTGCTCCGTGCTCTGGCCTTGGGGATGCATCTGTGAGGCTAGTGTCGACCCATTTGATATTTCAACCTGGTAGAATCTAAAATTCAGATATGGTGGAGGCCTTTATCCTCCCCGAGACCAGCATGAATACATCTTCTTCCAGTGCCCCTCCAACAGGGCACCGTGGCCCTGACTGTTGCCACCAGACCTTGTGTCAGGTGTGTTGCACTGAGAGGAATGGGTCCTCCGTGATCCAGGCAGCAGCAGGCTTACTTCAGGGGCCCACAGGTGTCGCTGCCTTGGCCAGGGGTTTTTTCCCATGACAGAAGTCCAGTCCCGGTGACGTGGTTCCCACCGGGAATGGGGCCTGCCGCCTGTGTAGGAGGCCGGACCTCTGCAGCTGTAGAGCACAGAGCCTGCCTCGGGTTATTGATCCTTTGTGGACACAGCACCCGACAGTTTCTGTCTGTGACCTGGGACCTGAGATGAGCTGCAGCCCTGCTGTGCCAGCTGCGGTGGCTGGCTCTGTCTCTAGAGCCTGGAGTTAGTTCTGCAGACAGCATGCTGTCAGGAGCACCCTGAGATTTGGAGGGTGCAGGGCTGCCCCCTGCCATAATCATGAGCGTGGAGGACAGATGGTCTCTGGCCTAGCGCCCCTGGGTTTGGCAGATTCTCTTCAGAGCTGATAGGTATTTGCCACCAGTGTCATTTTTAGAATTGGCCCAAACAAGTGGGTCTCGTCTGCTTCAGCTCGTCCTCCGGGGCTGTGCGTGTCTCATGCTGGCAGTGTTGTGCCCAGTGGTGGCATGAACCAAGGGAAAGCAAGAATCCCACCGCAGCGTGACGTCACGCCACACTCTTCCTAGAACTCCTGCCTGGGCGAATTGCTCTGATGAAGGCCACATTGTTAAACCAGCCTCAAAATCCACAGAGGAGAATGTGCTTACATCCTTTGGGACTCTCTGTGTTCACTGGTCCCCGAGTGTCTTGGAGAAGCACCAGGATTCTCCCAGCCAGCAGCCTGGGGGGTTTTGTTGGGTGAGCATCTGCCCGAGGGACGGGTGAGCCGTGCAGCTCCAGCCCCCGGGATGGACAGTGAGCCTCTGAGGGTCGAGGGAGCCGTTGGAAAGGCCCCAGGCTGCTGCTTGGCTGCTCACAGCCAGGAGTGGCTGGACAGGAGCTGTGCAGGTTCCTGGCCAGGAGGACTTGCCCTGCAACCGGAGCAGGCCGTCTCGGGGTCCCTTCTGGTAGGAGTCGGGCAGCCTGGACAGACTCCTTTCTAAACGTGGCCTTCAGCTGGAACCCAGAGAAGCTGCGAGGGACGAGGGGGCCGTGGTATTCAGCGATGGTGGCTGGTCTGGTTGCACTCATGAGGAGCCACGCCCACTGGCTGGCACAGCGCTTGCTCCCTGCCCAGCCTATCCTGAATGCTGCCTCAGCCTTGGACTTGGGCCATGCGGCCTTCTGGCCTGGGGACCCCTGAGAGAAACACTGGGCTCCTGGGGGTGGCAACGTTGCTTCTTCTTGGGTGACGTCCTGTTTTGATTGTGAAGGGGTTGGGGCCAGGCTGAAATAATGGTTATGGAGTCTAGCCTACTTCCCAGCCAGTGTCCTCAAGGCCATTAGACACTGTCACATCCAGTCTGTCGTGTTCCAGAGGAGCGTCACCCGTGAGGTCGTGGGCGCGCTTCCTTCTGCAAGGCCCCGGGGCGTTTCTGGGGAGCCAAGGCTGCTGTCCAGGCGGCACTGAGCCTGCAGGCAAATGGCATGGGGCACTGCCACTCAAGGCCAGCGTCTCCCCCCTCGTTCTGCTCCTTTGCTGGGCCATGTGGAGTGGGCCTGGTGAGTCCCTGCTGCCTCTGGGTTCCTGAGGACACAGTCACAGTGTGTCAGACACTATGGGGCGGGAGGGGTGATGTGCCATCAGTTTTTCTCTGACGTAGCTCTGTCAGGGCCACCTTAAGCCCTGGAGACTGTAGCACCTCCCAGGAGCTGCTGTCCCTGCCCAGGGCCTCCCTCTTGCCATGGCTTTGGCGCTAACATGGAGGAGGCCCCAGGGCTACCTCCCCGGCAGAGTTGACACGCATGTCACTGCACAGATGAGGCAGTGTCAGCAGCCACTGGTGGCTCCGGAACCTGCCTGGGAGGTGTGCAGGGCACCTGGTGGGTTTTGTACCACAGGGTGGCTTGGTTTCTGGGGCCTTGAAACAGAATGACAAACCCAGGAGACGTCGGGCCACCTTCCCTCCAAAGGCTGTGGGGAGGGTTCCCACCTGCCACATCAGCTCCCAGGGCTCCAGGGCCCCAGGGCCCCAGGTGTTGCGTGGCCTGTGGCCGCATCGTCTCAACCCCTGCCTTCCCAGTCACAGCTTCTCACAGGGCGTGTCTTTTTGTAAGGACACCCCCCCCACCCCCCGGAGAATCCAGGAGGGTCTCATTCAAGTCAGACAGTAAGGCTCTGAGTTCTGGGTCGACGTGGGGCTGCCGACCCACTGTCAGGTCCCCTCCTCACAGACCTCGGCTCCTTCCAACTTCATGAAGCCACCAGGTGGTTAGGACCTTCTGTGCTGGGCCTTCTCCCACGCGCTCTGTCCACACGGGGTGGACGACCAGCCTGGAGAAGGAGCTGCTCTGAGGGGCTCCCGTTTTGAGAAGTGCCGTCATCAGCACTGTGGGGGAACCAGCCCTGGTGACTGGCCCCACGGAGGCCTCACACCTTGGGGCCTGAAGTGCTGGTAGAGGGCCAGGTCTGTCCTCTGAGTGGCAGAGAGAACTGGTCAACATGAGAGAGGAGATGGACAGTGGCCGTCTCCTCCTCAAGCCCCAGGAAGCAAGGGTTTGCCGTGTCAGGACTCGATCATTGGATGGAGAAGCACATTCTTGCTGGGGCGTGGTGGTCATTCCTGAGAGTAAAGGTTAATCAGCAAAAGGATCCTTTTTCACAGGGAGGGGGTGGGGACCATCCAGGCAGATGGGACCTGCGGTGCCACGGGACTGTGGCTGCTGTCCACGGCCAGTGCCCGTCACAGTGGCACTGTGCACGCCGCCTCGAATGTGTCCCGGGCCATATCCTACCCCTCACCCCAGCTGGGAAGGGAGCCCCCCGGAGGCTGACCTGCTGCAGGGGAGCCCGTGACTCGGGACATTTTGCGGCCACACAGGCGCCTGCTCGCTTCAGGAACGGGTCGTCCTCCTCCCTTTGCGAGGGTCCATGGGGCTGGTTCTCACTGGAGGCCCCTCCTTCGCCAACCTCTGGAGGTGGCCCCGGGGCCTCGGCCTCTGGCTCTGTCCATTCTCCATCTTCAAAACAGCCCTTCCTCCCACCTCTTCCTGTCATCCAGCTCCTCCTCACTCTGCCCGTCCTGTGTCCATCTTATAAGGACCCTTGGGAGGACATCATGATCCAGGGCACTCCCACTAGGTCCTTCGCTCCCATCCTCAAAGTCCCTTTTGCAACATGAGGTCACACATGCACAGGGCCCAGGGAATAGAGGGTGGGGACACCTCCCGGGGGGTCATTATTCTGCCTTAGCAGATGGTGATGCCCGATTTGACCTTAGAAATCCGTCCGTCTCACCGCATCCTCACAGCTGCCCCAGGAAGTCGGAAGTCCTGGAGTTCCAGTTGGAAGGGCTGTGTGCTGAGCAAGGGCTTGCTCACCCACGCTTACCTCCCGAGCCAGGACGGCCCTTCCATGGCCACTGCGTCTGCTAGTCACCTTGGCACTCTTGCAGGGTAGCACGCTGTCTATACCCCTCACTCTTGTCTAGACCACAGAGGGCCACCCCTGTTGCACCTTCGACCTGCCAGCCCACCTCAGCACTGCCACCCTGGTCGCTAGACGCCAGTGACCTGCTGCTTCTCAGCTCACAGCCTCCGTGGCCACCTGTGACGCACACATGCAGCCTGAGCCCCTCAGCCAGGCCTTCCAAGCCCACTAGGGCAGGCTGCCGCCTGCATGGCCAGCAGTTGGGGCACCTCTCCCGAGGCTCACAGGACAGCACAGAAGGCCTGGGGAGCTGCCAGCCCAGGAAACCTCATGCCCAAAGCCCCTGAGCTTACTCTCTTCTGGTCACTTGAGACATTGCAGTGGCCTATGACTGAAGGTAAAGGGGATAAGGGGTCACCTTGAGTGGTGGTTTGGAAACATTAGGCAGGAAAACCTCAAGCTAAAGTTTTCTGGTGGAGAAATGGTCTCCCAGACATTAGGACGGAAACAGGAGGCTGCTGGAAGAGCTCTCAGGTTCAGTATGAGAAATACCAATATCAGTTTACCATTTCCATTGCTTTTCTTGCAAAAGCTCTTCAGGGTGCAAACACTGAGCTGCTCGTAAACTTTGAAACACTTGGCAACCTCTCGGGCTCGGTAGCAGCTCTTTTTCATTATTTTGCTTTCTTCCAAATCCTGGCATCTGCTGAAATCTGGCTGCTGCCAACCCGAGAGAGACACCGTCTGTGGGGGAGTCAGGCTGGGGCACCTGCCAGCCTCAGGGGCTGTGCCTCCCCAGGCGGGCTGGCAGTCATTTAAAACAGGAACTGCATTTCACAGTTGGCCCGAGGACACACCCAGCTCTGCCCATGGTACTCGCTATCGAGCGCTGGCACCTCCTACTACCCAGTGTGTTGTTCTTCTCAAGGGGTCAAAGAAACCACCCTGGCCACAGAGCTCCCTGGTGCTTGGTGTCACCTGAGACCTGGCCACCCCCAGGCATCAGGGCTGCACAGGTGATGAGACACCCCTGTCCCCGATGCCTGTGCTACACTGTGGCGAGGCCAGGCCAGCAGCATGTGGCTTTAGTTCCATTTGGGGCCCTGGAGGTTGAGGACAGCCTGGCAACCAGCAAGACCCCATTCTCAGAACCCAGCAGCAAATGTTACTCCAGGACCTTCACGAAATTATTTCCACTTAATTATAGTTATAATAAGTGGAAAAACAATGAACAAGATTGAGCTTGCCCCTTGAGCTTCCACCCAGATGTTTGTGTTTGTTCCCTGGGGCTGCTGTGACAGGTGACCAAAATCTTGGTGGCTTGAAACAACAAAAAGTTTACTACAGTTCTGGAGGTCAGAAGTCTAACGTGGGTCCCACGGGCTGGAGTCAGTGTGTGGCAGGGCAGATCCCTCTGTGGGCTCCAGGGGGAGAATCTGTTCCCCTGATGTTTCCGTTTTTTAGAGGCACCCGTGTCCCTTGGCTTGCGGCCTGTCCGGCATCTCCAGTCGTCCTTCCCCTCTCTCTCACTGTGTTCTGCTTGCACACCCTTCCAGCTAGGTCAGGCCAGCCTGGAGACGCCAGGCGCAGCTTCCATCTGGGGGCATGTGTCTCCTTTAAAACTGTGGAGGAAGTCACCCCCACCATGCTAGGGGCAATTGGGGAGCCCTTGATGAAGATTGTTGTCACTCACGTCCCTTGCACATGAGAGGCGGATGTGACCTCCCCTCCAAGGATGCCATCCTTATGCCCATTTGCACACAGGAAGCATAGGCACAGTCCCTGGCAGCGGACAGGCTTGGATTGGAACTAAGGGCTCTCTGCAGCGGTGCCCAGGAGCCTGCCTGCTGGCCTCTTGTGGCAGTTTCTTTGTTCTAGTTCCACTTTAGAGGCTCAGAGAGCACCGGGCACCCTTCTCCAGCCCCCCTTCCCTGGGAAATGCTGCAGTGCCAAAGAGTGCACCCCAATCCCTGCGTCCATCTCTAGTGGGCCCCATGCCCAGTGCAGTGGGAATGATGTTCTCTGTGGAGCTGTCTTCCCACTACTCCTCTGCCTGCTCTTCTAAATAAACGGGTGCTCGTCCTTGGATGTATTGGATGGTGGCCTGGTGGGAACGTCCTGGCAGTGCCTCTGCTCTGGGTGTCAGGACCCGGTGCCCACCTGCTATCCCCGGGGCCTGGAATGCTTTTGTCTGTCTCGTCCCGGCAGGGCCTGGCTTCGTCTGGGGTTTTGCTTTATGATTCTGAGACAGGCACATTGAAATGGACTCAGGTTCTTGCTTTCTCAGAGGGGCCTCCTGACACCAAGGTCACAGCAAGATGTAGACACCACTGGGGCTGAAAGTGGCATACAAACTACCCTTGCTCCTGCCTGGGCCTTAAGGGAGAAAGCTGACCCCTTTGGGAGAGCCTTGCACATCCTGGCCTTCTTGCAGGGTGACCAGGTCTGCAGGCTGTGCTTACTGGATTGTGCCCTGGCCCTCTTAGTAGGCCAGCATGCAAGCCATATGGACATGGTAGCCTTCAGCTTGCGATGACTCCTAGCCTGTCTCCCTGGCCTCCCTACATAGTGATGGGGTCTGTGGACACCTGGTCATGATACAGCTGGCAGGCTGGACAGTCAAGGCTCTGACCCCCAAGAGGCATGATGGCTTGTGGTAGAGCAGTGGGGGATCGGCAGGGGGTGGAGCCACCTGGGCTGCCCTGTGGCAGGTGCTCACCATCGTCCAGACCCCCTTCAGGTGGTGGCCACCAGAGCTCGGTGGCCCCTCAGGCAGACCAGAGATCCTGGAGTGCTCCTCCTTGGGCAGGTGGGCAGGGAGGTTGGCCTTTGGCCCTATGGCCCTCGTGCTGTGCCTGCGGTCCCCAGCCCAGGCCCAGGGTGCACCCCGACCCTGAGCTGAGCTCTTCCTTTTCCTCCCTGGCTTGCCGCGGTACTGCAGGACTTCAGGTTCCTCCGTATGGAGCAGTGGCCTGAGGCCCTGGGAGGATGTGGGGTAGCCAGGCAGCCACAACGGGGCCTGCACAGGCCACACTGCTTACACCACTATCAACACTGGGGTCGCCCTGGCTCCCCTCTTCAGGATGCCTTCATGGTGTTGCCAGAAACCCTTTCCTTGAACGCCAGCTTCCCACAACAATGTGGGCCACTCTGAACCCAGACTCACCCACTCCTGTTCACCCATTCTGGGCACTTGGGCATGGTGTGGAGCAAAGGGAGGCCCGGTTCTGGTGCCCTTTCCTCCTGGGAGAGGCTGGTGGGTAGACAGGTGAGGGGTGGCAGGGCTCCAGGCTGTTGCTCTGAGCACAGCATTTAGGTTGAGCCTGTAAGGAAGTGACGGCTAGCGAGGCTTTGTGCTCCTGAGGGTGCCCAGGCTGGGGACTTGGAAGGCCCAGGAGAGCCAGCAGGGTGCTGGGTCCTGTGGACTGGGCATGTCCACACGTGAGGTGCCTTCTTTCCCAGGCCCTTGTGAGCCATGTATTGGTTCAGCACACCCGTGGGACACCTACACTGCCTCATGGGGCTTCCAGGCTGGGAGGGACATGGACATCAGTCAAATGGACAAGCCAGCCAACATAGGGGTACAGACAGAACAGAAAGACTGTTCCTAAAAGTCTTAGAGAAGGGGTGCTTGTGCTGAGGCACAAAGGGTGAGCCAGGCGAGGGTGGGGTGGGGAGGGCATGTCCAGGGCCACAGGGAGGCCCTAGTGGCCAGAGTGTAGGAAGCGGGGATCAGGGTGGGGTATCTGGAGTTGAGCCCCATCCTGGTGACCCCACCCACTGCGATGCACCTGGGTCTCTAGGGAGGTCTTGACCCTGCAGGGCCCAGAAGCACTGCGTCCTCTGCTGGCAGCTAGGACTCAGGGTTCATCTGTCAACCTGGGTTTCAAGTTTTCTCAGCCTGTTGGTGACCAGATCAGGTCTAGCTCCAAAGTCCTGCCATGTCCAGCCTTCCAGGGTCAAGCCTCAGGCCTGTGCAGCGTGGTGATGTTGCTCTCTCCAGGTGGGACCATGGGGCGCCATGGGTCCTCTCTCTGGACGCTGCTCTCTGCCTTTCCTGGTCTGGCCCAGTGTGCATAGACAAAGCCCGCTGCACGTTTTTGGACACAGACTGACGTTAGAAGTCTCTTCAGACTGAAATGAACCGGGCAGTGGGACTGTGCTGCCGCAGGATCTGGTGGGAGGGGCTTTCATGGGCAGAGTCCACGGCCAGCGCTGAGGCCCTGGGAAGTGGCCCTTGCCACAGCGGTCTGTTTTGGGATCCTTGGGCCTTTGGTGGAGTCCGTGCTGGCTTCATCTCCTGGAGGGGTGTCCCTGCTTTTTTGGCCCCACCCTCTCATCTTACCTGTGGTCATCGGTGTGAGGGATGTTGGCTGGCACTTGGGGAGATGGCAGAGAGGCCACTTGGACTCCGGGATGACCCATTTAACTTTCCAGCCCCTTCTCTGAGAAACAGACAGGGCCATCCCCCGGGATGTGTGTTGGGTGACCGCTATAGGGTGCTTGCATGGGACTGTGTACTTTACAGCCACATCCTGCCCCCTGTTGCTGACCTTGTGGCTCCTTCCCTCTCTCCCAGAATTGGCCACATCCAGCATGAAGCACCCCCTGTAAGTATGGAGTTGAATGTGGCATGAAGTAGCCTGGGACTTTAACATAGAGTAGCCCATGCTGCCCCACTGTCTCTCTCTTGGTCTCTGAACACTTCTCGTGGGCCTGTCTCAAAGGAGCCAGGACACTGCGCTCCATGGCCAGAACTGGTTCCCGTGGAGCAGGACCCAGTAGTCCATGTGGTCAGGGACTTCCTAGAGCTGGCCCAGAAGGAGGCCATGCTGGGGTGTGCAGCGTGGCCACATCGGAGAAGCAGCAGCAGCCAGATGCTAGCCCCTCCCCTTGAAGCCCCCACAGGTCAGTGCATCCTGTGGCCACAATGACCACAGGCCAGGCCCCAGGCCCAGCACAGGGCTTCTTTCTTTTCCTGCCATAGGTACCCTGACAGACAGGTTCTCTTGTACCCATCAGTAACTGGAAAGCTGGGCTCTGTGAGACTAAGGGTCAGGTGGAAGGGCTGTGCCCAGGAGGGCAGGGGACAGAAGAGAAGATCCCAGTCCCATGAGCCCAAGGGAATGGGAAGTCCAGAGAGGTTGGCCTAGGGTTAGCCGGGTGAGGGGACCCCAGGGATAATGTTACAGGAATGGTGACTCTGGACTTGGTCCTGTCACAGACAGGCACTGCTGGTGTGGGGAAGCCGTGAGCCTAGGGAGGGGCCTGGCAGGCAGCTCAGACCAGCAGCTCAGGGTTACAGAGGAAGGCTGCCTGCCGTCTTGGGGGCACTGGCCTGGGGGGGCCGAGCTGGAGCACAGAGGTGGCTCAGGAGGGGCCTACCTAGGACCACAGTGGCCTGAGGCAGTCCAGAATAAAGAAACAAGGCTCTGGAAGGTTCTCCCGGTGCTCAGAGCCAGATGGTGGGGCAACAGTGTGGCCCATGGGCACTGATAAGGCCTCAGCATAGACGGGGCACGCGCACGCTGGCTTGATCTCACCCAGAATGGAGCCGGCCCACGCCAGGAGCCCGGGGCAGTGTGGCTGAGGAGCGTGCAGGCAACTCCAGCTCTTCCCCTCCGGCTGGGGGCCGATTGGGCGGCCACCAAGACCCCCAAGCACAGCAGTGAAGCCTGCTCCAGAGACAGATGACAAACGTGGGCTACTAATGGCGCGTCCTAATAGTTGTCACTTCACTCTCTCGTAGTTGTTGCCACCCCTGTCGCCTAACCCTGTCTTTTAACTGTTTTAGTAACATGGTTTCTCCTGACCCTGCCCTGCCCGCCCCTGCCACCTCCCCCAGAGGAGGCCACGCTGTCCGCTCCCCTGACTCTGTCCGCGCTCCACAGGCTGCGTCATCACCATCTCCGGGCGCATGACCTTTACGAGCAATAAGTCCATGGAAATTGAGGTGCTGGTGGATGCCGACCCCGTGGTGGACAACTCCCAGAAACGCTACCGGGCAGCCAGTGCCTTCTTCACCTACGTGTCCCTGAGCCAGGAGGGCAAGTCGCTGCCTGTACCGCAGCTCGTGGTGAGTGTGTGTCCCTGGGGGCTGCCATGTCACACATCAGGTTGTGGGAAGGAAGGCCTTATAAGCTGCAGGAAGTCCTTCGGGCTCTGCCCCGCAGGCTGTGGGGATGGGCCTGGGCAGACACAACAGACCCCTTGAGCAAGCTGGCGGTTTGGGGATGCAGGTCACCTGGGAGCACAGAGCCCAAGGGTCCCTGGCGTTGTGTTGCCTGTGCTGGAGTGAGGATGAGGGCTCCCCAGGGTGGTTCTGCCTGCAGGTCCTGCCTGATACAGATCAAACCAGACCCCTGGCCGGCAGAGTGTGAGTCTAGACACTCAGGCCTTCCCCTGTCTCTGGCCCTCAGACTTGGTTCTGCCTTGGCACGCAGAGGTGGGTGCAAGGCCAGCAGGATTGTGTGCACCTGTGCACATCCCCCGCCTCGCCTACAGCTCAGCCCCAGACACGTCCAGAGGTCACAGGCACAGAGGGTTTAGCGTGGCCCAGAGGCAGCTTCTGCTGTGGGAGTGGAGATGCCCAGCCCACACCCAGGGCAGCCTTCAGGCCAGTCCTGACTCCTGTGAATTAGGTCTCAGGCCTGTCACTAAGTGGACTGATCTGCAACCAAGAGGAAACCAGTTGGTGTTTCCTGCCCCCCATAGGGCAGGGCAGGCCTCCAGGCAGCATGGCCCTGCCAGTCTGAGCCCTGCTTCCCCTGCACCCCCGTCTGCTCCCAGCGTCCTGCAGGTGCTTGACGCTCCCCTGGGAGGAGAGTGGACTGGGTAGACATGGTGCACGTGGGGTCCCGTTCTCTCCCGGGGGCCATGAGGAGGCTGGTTGCTTCTTCCTGTGACAGGAGGGCGTCTTGGCTGGTGGGCCCTGCCCTGGGGTAGCTCATGTCTTGGTTGAGGCTGCGTCCCCTCCACCCACCTCCTTCCTGAATGCTCAGGCCCAGTGAGGCCACTGTGGTAATGAGTGGTGGCCAGGGCCTCACCTGCCCACAGGTCCCCCACCTCCCAACTTCTTCTCTCGCCTGAGGTTGGGACTTAGGTGCTCTGAGCCATGTGATCTCCCCGAGGTGCTGTGGGCAGAGGAGGGGTGGGGTGGGTGGTGATGGTGAACCTGAACATGAAGGATGAGGACTCAGTGGGTTGAAAGGAAGGAGAGCAAGAGGGAGGCCAGAGCCCTCCTAGGCAGGAGGCCCCCATGTAGCAGTATTGACCTGTGACCTCCCAGTGGACCCCTTGAGGCCCAGCCCTGTGACCAGGCCAATTGGGGCACCATGTGCCTTACGTGGGGCTTGTGAGGCAGGTCTCCTGTCAGCTGGGAAGTCCTCCGCTCCCTGCCCCCTCTCCAGGCAGAGCCCCCACCCACACCCCATGGCACTTCTGCCAGGGGCTGCTGGATCTCCCCAGGGCCATCTTGCCCGAGCTGTTCTCCTGGTGTTTGTACCAAGACAGGGAGGGGCATCCCTCATCCCTGCCCTTCTCTCTACCCGGGAGCCCAGCTCCAGAACCCATATCTGGTTCCCCCCGCCATGCCGGGCATTGACCCCAGGTTCTCTACCCCTGAGCTACATCCCCAGCTCTTTCTGAGACAGGGTCTCACTGATTTACTGAGGGTGTACATTCCTGAGCGTGGCTGTGAACTTGTGATCCTCCTGCCTCAGCTTCCCGTGTTGGGGCTCGTGTGGGTGGGGAGCAGTGCCTGCTACCTAGAGCCTAGTCAGGGCCTCAAGCATGTGCTTCCTGTGCGCCTCAGTTTCACCACTGTGTAGGCTAAGAAAGGTGGGCAAGGACCCACCGACCCTGGTTGCCTGCTGCTGCTCACCTGCTCCTCCAGGGAGCCCTCCTCACCAGCGCTCACCCACTTGAAGGGGTCTGGCCTTGGCATATCTGGGCCTGATGGTGGTGGGGTTCTGCAGAACTTACCCAAATGGGCATGTGACCTGGGGGCACCAATGAGGCATGACAGTTTGCACCTTGAAAAGGCTTTGGTGCAAGTTGGCAGGGTGCTCTGGCCAGGCCTTCTGTGTCAGCTATCTGCAGGTGGTAAGGGACCCCTACCTGGGGGCCAGTACTGCTTCGGGCATGGGTGGTGCCTGCCCCTTGAGGCATGCATTCTCCTTCCCAGCCACCAGTCGAGTGCCCCCCACGGCCCCTCTTCTCTGGTTCTTGTGGAGACCAGCACTGTGGCCAGGAGGGGATCTGGGAGAAGGACCTTGATGCCCCGGGTTCCCCACCTGCTGTGGAGTCCATCCCTGAGTGGGCTCTCACATGGAGCCAGGTCTGTAGTCAAGGAGGCCTTTGGGGCCGAACCTGTGACCTTCAAAAGTAGACCTGGGTGTCCTTTTCCAGAAACCTGTATGCGGGTCATGGTGTAGGAGGCGGCGGATCCCAGAGAGGAGGCGCTGGGCTGGCAAGGGCTGCAGAGGGGTGAGGAGGACCCCTGCATGAGTGGAAGGCGTGGTGGCATTGTCCCTAACTTGGGGGGCTGCACGTGGCTGATGTCCTGCTCAGTTCAGGTGGCTTCAACAGTGCTGATAAAGACAGTCTGGAGGGGACGGCAGGGCACACCCCCCAGAGGGGGACTTGGCACTCTGCTAGGCCTCTGTGATGCTCACTTGGGGACCTCCGACGCCCCGGACCTCAGCATTCATGTGTGCTGCCCAGGGCTCCAGGCGTGTGCGAGCTGGGCCCCTCCTCTCCTGGCGCCTCCCCGCCCCCACGCTGGCTCCTTCAGCCTCCTGTCTATTTTTAGCTCCCTTCCCCAGGGCCCTGCTGACACAGGCGCAGCCTCTGTGCACAGTTGTTTCTGGATGGATGTTTGTTGGGGGCCTGCGTGCTGTGCCTCAGCAGCTGTCACTCGTGCTGGGGATCGGGCTGTTGGTCTGGATGCCAGTGCCCTCTGACCTTGGAGCAACGACTGACCTGCGATGGCTCAAGCCAGGAAGCAGGGCTCCATGGAGGGGCAGCTACAGCTGTGACCACCCAGACCCATGGACCAGAAGTGGGAAAATGGCCTGTGGAAGGGACAGCAGGGAAACCATCTCCTGCACCCAGCCCTGGCTTCCGGGCGCCCAGCACTAAGGTGGCCTGGTGCCTCCGATGGGTGGGTTTTTTCTGTGCAGGGTGTAAGAAGCATATTAAGTCTTCAGGGGAGAGGACCAAATTCAGTGTTGGGGCCAGAGGAGGCTCCTGATTCCGTGTGTGTGGGCAGCACTTGCCACCAGTTCTTTGTTCCCGTGTCTGCCAGAGAACTTGATCATCCCAACCTCAGGAGGCAGAGTCCTTGCAGAGCAGATCTGGTGAGCTTGTCCCAGAAAGCCCAAAGCAGGAGGCTGTCAGCCAGCGCTGGTGGAAACTCACCTGCAGCCTCACACACCTGTGAGCTGGGGGCAGAGGCAGGCAGGACCCAGACTTGGCTCAGTGGTCAACCTTGAGTTGACAGGAAGGGGTCTGGAGGTTAAGATGGGGTTAAGAGGCCTGGGATGCGGCTGTCCTCCCTGGAGCAGGGCTCTGGGCCAGCCCCACCACACTTGCAGCCTGCTGCACCTGCACATCCTCTCCACTGTCTTGCTCCCCCCCCCAGCAGCGCCTCAGTTTCCTGGGGCAGCACTGAGGGCAGTGATGAGTATGGAGCATCCACCACGAGGCTGGGGAGACTGTTCTTAATGTGGCAGCTGTCTGCTTATCAAGATGGTACCCACTCGGCCAGCATGATGCTGTGGCCATTCCCTGCCTCTGGGGAAGGTGGGAATGGAGGAGGCGGGGGGCTGGGGTCCTCCTTGGGGCTGGTCATGGAGAGCTGGGACCTATACCGAGGGCCAGCTGCTGCACATGTTGCCAGTTGCATCCTATCCATGTGGCACATCTGGAGTTAGGGCAGATCTTCCCCTCGTGACAGGAGGACCATGAGGAACATGGGGGTGACTGCCCTGCGACTGCCAGGACCCTTGCTGGTGTGGCTCTGGGGGTGGCCCTTCTCAGCCTGGGCCTGTGAGGAGGGTCTGAGATGTGGCCTTAAGCTGCGCCACACCTACTCAGTGCAGGGCCCTGCGTCATCCCGAGGAGATCTCAGGAAACCGCCTCAGTGTTCAGGAAACGTGGCTGTTTTGAGCAGCTGCTGGGCCTGGCCAGGGTGCTTGCTGGACAGGTGTTTGCCCCATGGGCCTCCGCGACTCCCCACAGAGATCAGGTGCTTTTCTGCCCTGTAGTTGAGTCTTGTTGGGGCCTCAGCACAGATGGGGCTTCTGCTGGCCTCACCTCTGTCACTGCCCCATGACTCAACCTGCCCCTTCACTTCCCACCTAGTGGACTCACCTGTGCAGCCAGTGCAGAGCCCCGCGGCCACTCGGTCCACCACAGCTGGTCAGGAAGATGGCACAGTGGGTGCAGGAGCACCTGGCCCTGGGCACCATCTGACCTGCTGCCCCAGCATGAGCGCAGGATGCCTGCCTGAGGTCGGCTAGGGAGGCCCTTGGTGGTCCCAGCTGTGGCTACCCCTCCTTGGAGGCTTGCTTCCTGGCTTGAGCCATCACAGGCCAGCCGTTGCTCCGTGAGGTCTTTCTGGAAGGCCCTTGTGCCTTTGCACTGAGGAGGTGGCACAGGTGGGACTTTCCGTGCTCCGGTGGCCCTTCCCCTGGAGCATACGGCAGCAGCGCAGGAGGCGGTCACCTTTCTGGCCAGGATGAACAGGGAAACTTCTCTCTGTGGCCTGGCGTGGCAGGAGGGATGCCCAGACTACGGGACTGCAGGGGCCCGGGGGCTGCAGTTTGGTGAGATACTTTGGTGTCATGGAGACCACTGGGCCCCAAGCTCCTGCATGCTGAGGCTCCATAACCACTTTTAGGGAATTTCACAGCCAGAAGAGCCTCCAGCACTCTGGCCCTCTGTCTTCCCTTTGATCCTGCTGGGGACAAGATGTTTTCCCACTGGTCACTGGCTGTCCCAGCCTCTTCCGTCGTCCTTGCCTGTTGAGCGGCGTAAGCTTGGGTGCCTATAGTTGTTGGCTAGGCGGGGGTG